ATTCATGATGTCATGATTTTTTTTTTGTCAGTGTGCCTTTTCACATTTGCCTAAAATTTTGTTTATATATTTGAACACATACGTATTTCTTAATTCTTACCCGAGGGTGTTTTCCCATTATTTAACCAATAAGCACACACAGGGCTGGCTCTTTCATAAAAAGAAAAATTCTGCTTGTGGCTCTGCTTAGAATTTGAATTCATTTTTCTCTAAGCCCACCGGTGTATATTCATGTGGTGACTCCAAACTCTCTAGGCGTTGCTTTGTTTTCTTTCCGGTCTTCTGCAGGAGTGAGACCAGGTTGGCGAGAAAGCAGCAAGAGCACGGTTTTATCCTCGATTTGGATGGAATGAATGTATGGCCCAGACACTGGGCTTTGTGCGGGGTCACAGAGATGAGTCAGGCAAGAGCCTGGCCCTCAAGAAAGCTCAGGTTGCCTGAGGAGACCAGTATCTAAATATTATACCCGAAAATAAGACATCCTCCGAAAATAAGACCTACTCACAGGTTTCCTTCTGAGTGAAATATAAGGCATCCCCCGAAAAAAGGCCCCCCTTGGCTAAACATGAGAGATTTGGTCCACTGATTCTGAAAGAAATGGAATCACAGCTGAAACCGGTTTGGCTCAAAGGGTAGAGCGTCGGTCTGCAGACTGAAGGGTCCCGGGTTCGATTCCAGTCAAGGGCATGCACCTTGATTGCGGGCACATCCCCAGTGGAGGGTGTGCAAGAGGCAGCTGATTAATGATTCTCTCTCATCGATGTTTCTAACTCTCTATCCCTCTCTCTTCCTCTCTGTGAAAAATCAACAAAATATATTTTAAAAAAGAAGATAAAAAAAGAAAAGAAATGGAGTCACAAGAAATTCACCAGGAAATTCAGGAATTGGATTGTTATGATGATGTTCCAGAAGATGATGACATGATTGTCATTGAATAAATGAGTAAATTCTTGATACTGTAGGATTCACAGTTTGTCTGGTTTGTGTTGACAACTACCGTACTACCGTACCGTATATAGGTAATAAATTTCCTTCATTTTCATTTAACAATAAATGTGTACCGTATTCTTCTTCATGGAAAAGTAAGACATCCCCTGAAAATAAGACCTAGCGCATCTTTGGGAGCAAAAATTAATATAAGACACTGTCTTATTTTCGGGGAAACAGGGTAGCTTTTACCACAGGGGTTAAGAAAGTGCTCCAAGAACAGAAGAAATCTTGCTAGATGTGTCATGGATTTGATGAGCTGGGCTTTGCAGGACAGCACCTGGGAGGAGGAGGGAAGGCCTTCGAGGCAGAGGGAATAGCGTGAGCAGAGGCATCTTGGGAAGGTGTGAATTCTTTTTTTTTTTTTTTTTTTTTAAATATATTTTATTGATTTTATACAGAGAGGAAGGGAGAGAGATAGAGAGTTAGAAACACCGATGAGAGAGAATCATCGATCAGCTGCCTCTTGCACACACCCTAATGGGGATATGCCCGCAACCAAGGTACATGCCCTTGACTGGAATCGAACCCGGGACCTTTCAGTCCCCAAGCCGACGCTCTATCCATTGAGCCAAACCGGTCCCGGCGGGAAGGTGTGAATTCTGCATTGCTGCAGCATGGACTCTTGGAGGGACGAAAGGAGGGCAGGGATGGAAATGGAGATGAAGCTAGAAAGACAGGCCAAAGTCAGGGTGTGAAGAGCATCGCATGGTCTGCTTGGGACAGACATCAGGCAGGTGTGGGCATCAAAAGCTCTAGTCCACCTTCTATCGCAAGTACACTGTAGCGAGTATGAATTTGTTCTCTGTCAGGTCCAGTTTTCCAAACAAAATAAAATCAAACTCAATCCAGCCGGTGTGGCTCAGTGGTTGAGCTCCAACCCGCGAACCAGGAGGTTTCAGGTTCCATTCCCAGTCAGGGCACATGCCCTGGTTAGGGGTTTGATCCCCAGGAGAGGGCGTGCAAGAGGCAGCAGATCAATCACTCTCATCATTGATGTTTCTATTTCTCTCTCCCTCTCCCTTCCTTTGTGAAATCAATAATATATATATATATATATATATATATATATATATATATATATATATGTATATATATAATTTTTTTTTTAAATCAAACTCCAGGTTCCATCTGCCAGATTTGACTGAAGATTGAATCTTGACCATGTTTTGGGGAGTCTACCCCATTGGAGTTGTCAACACCAGCAACAAGTCTGAGGATTTACATGGTCTGCAGAAGGTGCCTGGCCTGTTCCTGGGAGCTTGTTATAGTTACCCTGGCATACACTGCCACACAGACTGGTACACTGCCACACGGGACTGGTACACTGCCACACGGGACTGGTACACTGCCACACGGGACTGGTACACTGCCACACAGACTGGTACACTGCCACACAGACTGGTACACTGCCACACGGGACTGGTACATTGCCACACCAGAGAGAGAGAGAGGTAGAGAGACAAGAGAAAGTGGGGGGGGGGGGCAGCGATTTGCCGTCCTTTCACCTATTTATGCATTCATTGGCTCATTGGTTGCTTCTTTACTAGTATATGTGCCCTGACCAGCAATCAAACCCACAACCTTGATGTGTCAGGATAATACTATAACCAACTGAGCTACCTGGCCAGGGCCTGTAGTTTTAACATTTAAGGTACATTCCATTTTGTAGGAGTTTGAGAATTCTGGGGGTTGGGTAGCTGATCCTTTGGGAAAAGGAATGGCTGTACAGCTTAAAAATTTTCTCTGTACATCCTTTCTCCCTTCTTTGATAATCGGACTAGCGTAGATAACATAAGGGAGGTGTCCCACCTCTGAAACCTCTCTCATAATATCAGGCCATGAAACTTCACACCTGGGTCTGCCTTGGGGCAGCCTTGTAGCCACAGGCACTGCTCATAAGGGCCTGGCTGTCTGTGCGTTTCCAGTTCAAGTTCCTGGGAGAGAGACTCTAGCTCAGGACAGCCGCTCACATCAGATACAGGTCCAGTGAGCCCGAGTGATGGATGTCTGGCTTCCCCCTCAGCCAGGAGTGTGGGCAAGGAGACACTGGAACTCCACTGCACCACCTGCGAGCTTTGTCCTCGGGACAAGTTGCCGAAGCTTTCTAAACTTTGGTTGTTCTTGTGGAAGGTGGCGCATAATACTATTACTCCTTTCAAAGAGTTAATTTTGAGAATAAAATTAGATTAAAAAAACAACAACATCAAAACCCTCTGTGCAGTTCCAGGCACAGAGGAAGCTGTGAGCAAATGGGAATCAGCATCGTCATAATTATGATGGAAAAGGCACTGTCCTGGATGCTAGATCTACAGGGTTCGAAGTCATAGTTCCCCATGATGACACGGAACTCAGGGAAGAACTTTGTTCTCCCTGTGCTGGCACAAAGGCGTTTACCTCATTTGGGCTCTCAGCTGTATCCATCCATCCATCCATCCATCCATCCATCCATCCATCCATCCATCTTAGAGTTAGAATTCAGAGGGTAGAGAGAGTGTTGTCTCGGGCTAATAATTCGAACTGAAATTTTGTCTTAGGGACCCCTGCCTTGGCAGTTGTCTGACTCCCATTTCTTACTTTACCTGTGACTGAAACACACACCTTAATCTGAGCGAGCTGTAGTTTCCTTATCTGTAACACTTACATGCGAATGGCAATTAAAGCAGGGTTATGACCTTAATGCTGCAGTACAGTGTGTTCATTAAATGCTAGGGATTGCTATGTAATGACATCGTCAATCATTTATTGTGACCCCAATAGTTGTTATTGGTGATGGGTGGAGTGAGGGGGTTGGGGGATCTGGAATGACCTCTGTTCCCTCTCACTCTGCCGTGTCTAGGGGTAGGAAGGCCCTTCCTCTTCTTCCCATTCCTTCGTGGAGGAGCCCTCTGTCAGCAGCATCTGCAGTGTCCCTGTTCCTGGGAGGCACCAGCTCCAGGTCTATGACAGACCACAAGTTACTTCTCCTAGCGGGGCAAGTCGGTGTCTCAGTCTTGTCCTCTCCCCAGACCCAACCCAGGGCTGAATCCCAGGGATTTCATCACTCCAACCGGGGCGGTACCTCTGGAACACAGCACTTCTCTCATCACTTCCATGTCCCGGGGGCGGGGCCAGGTCCTAGAACCCCAGAAAGTCACGGATGAAAAAGTCCTTAGAAACCCAAGTCTTTTATTTATTTATTTATTTATTTATTTATTTATTTATTTATTTATTATTTATTTATGTTTTATTGATTTCAGAGAGGAAGGGACAGAGAAACATCAACAATGAGAAGGAATTCTGGATCTGCCCACGTTGGGGATGGAGCCCGCAACCCGGCCCACCGAACGGTGACCTTCTGGTTCCTACGTCTGCGCTCCGCCGCGGAGCCGCGCCAGCGGGCCCAGCGCTTTATTTTATTTACGGGACAGCGAGCTGAGGCTGAGAGAGAGGGCAAGCAAAACGTCTCATCAGGTTAGGCGCCCACAGATTCCAACCTGGGTTTCCGGCCGTGAGCCAGGTTCCTGACACCTCCAGGCTGTCTGACCCTGTGGCCTCTCCCTGGGAGCCACTCCACGGCCAGGGCGCCCACCCGGGCCTCGCGGCTTCGGGGGTCCCTGGCCGCGCAGCCAGCGCCGCGGGCGGAGGCGGGGGCTCTCCAGGGGCTGCAGGGCGCCCCGAGGACTTGGGGAAGCCCCGGGCAGGCCACGGGAGCCGGGGGAACCGCCGGGGTGCGGAGCGCAGAGCCCGGGACGGGCTGTGGAGAGGGACCTGGTCGCCGGGCACTTGGCAACCCTGGCGGAGCGCCTCCCGGGTGAGAGAGCGGCGGCGGCCAGCCCCGCCCCCGGCCCCTCGGAGCGCTGACCCCGCCTCCCGGAGGCCGGTTCCCCCGGACGGCGGGCGCCGCGCGCAGTAAGCCGATCGCTCCCGCCGGCCGTGCGGCGCCCGGACCGCCCGTGCCCTGCGCCCTGCGCCCTGCGCCCTGCGCCCGCCGGTGCGCTCGGCTGGGGGCCGCGGCCGTCCCTCCGCGCGGCATGGCGCGGCCCGTGCAGCTGGCGCCGGAGTCGCTGGCGCTGGTGCTGAGCCGGCTGGAGGCGCCGGCGGCGGCGGGGGGCGCGGAGGAGCCCGGCGGGCACGCCGTGTTCCGCGCCTTCCGCCGCGCCAACGCGCGCTGCTTCTGGGACGCGCGGCTGGCGCGCGCCGCCTCGCGGCTGGCCTTCCAGGGCTGGCTGCGCCGCGCCGTGCTGCTGGTGCGCGCGCCCGCCGCCTGCCTGCAGGTGCTGCGCGCCGCCTGGGCCCGCCGCGCGCTGCGCCCGCCGCGCGGCTTCCGCATCCGCGCCGTGGGTGAGTGCGGGGCCCCGGACCCAGCGGGGCGCGTGCACCCCGGCTCAGCTTCGAGGGGGCGGGCGCGGGCGGACGAGGGAGGAGGAAACAGGCCGGCGGCTGGAAGGGGGCTCTCCTTTCCGAGCATCTCCTCCACCCGGGGCACCGATGCTCCGGTCCCAGCCCCCAGGGCACACCGGGCCCGCTCCGGGAGGCCCCCATGGCGCAAACCTTCCAGCCAGAGGACCGCGCAGGTCCCCGGCCGCCCAAGGAACTTTCTGCCTAGAAAAGTGATGCTTTAGGGGAGGAAGGCTTTGTGCCCGGGAGCCAGAGGGTTGGTCCGGAGGTGGGGGCCCCTGTCTCTGTTCCACGGGGGCGCTTAGAAGGGGAGCTCTAGGTGTTGGTTCTGAACTGGCTGCTTTTATTTTGTGTGTGTGTGTGTGTTTTAAATATATTTTATTTATTTTTAACAGAGAGGGATAGAGAGTTAGAAACATCGATGAGAGAGAAACATCCATCAGCTGCCTCCTGCACACCTCACACTGGGGATGTGCCCGCAACCCAGGTACATGCCCTTGACCGGAATCGAACCTGGGACCTTTCAATCCGCAGGCCAACGATCTATCCACTGAGCCAAACCGGTTTCGGCTTATTTTATTTTTTTGAATTGCAGACGTGGAGGAGCAGTGTGTGGTTTTCGTATTCTGCTGTGTGGGGCGGTGTGGTGGTTTTGGATCAGGGCCTAGCGGAGGATTTGGGGTGGGTCACTGCTCGGGTAAAAGACATGACACGGCGCTGTGGACACATCCCCTCGGCTAGATAGGATCCCTCCTTCCCGGCCGCTCCAGGGAGCCCATTTGTTGGGAGACAGACAGGACTTTGGCCCGTGTGACATGACACAGCTCCTCGTTTGAGAGAGGAACCCCTGCAGCCCGGAGTGAGTTCTCTGGCCCCCGGCCTCGGCGTTCAGGGGGCTGTGGGCTCCCGGGAACAGCCTGGTTCTGTCTGTCTGTCTGTCTGCGTGCATGTGGGGCCATGACGGCGAGGTGATGGTGTGCTGTTGACAAGTCACCACTTGTTCCAGCCCTGGATTTTGACTCACACCAAGGAGCCCCGCTCCATCTCAGTCCATAAATCATCCTCAGAGGAGGAGCAGCGAATAAAAAACACGTGTTTCAGTCCCAGGGGTGAAGGACCGGGATAGCCAGAGGCACTGGATGCATCACCTGTCAGAGGTGAGGTCTCTGCGTCATCCCGGGTCAGGGCGGTTAAACCTTGGCTTGTCACCTCTGCGCATTACCCTTCTGTCTGGTACAGCAGACACACCACACACACACACCCTTTCTCTCCCCCTCAGAGCAAAAAAAGAGCTCATTTGCAAAGCCACATGAACGCATTTCATCTCCTTTTACTTGCAGGAGTGAGTGAAGAAAATAGGTTTTTGGCTCCGAAAGCCGAAATTCTCACAGGGGGAAGGGGTAGATGAAAAACTCTTTTCAGTTCTGTGTCCTGGGGGTTTCTGGTTTGAATTAGCGGTTGCATTCTCCTGTTCCCCCTCCCCCTGTTGAAGGGTGAGCATAGAGAGCGGTTGCAGAAAGGGGGTGGGTGGAGTTGGGGTCTGGACCGGAGGGGGAAGAGAGAGGGCTTGTGCTGAGCCGAAGGCAGCCAAGATGCTTGCTACCTGGGGCCCAGCGAGCAGGGGCGGAGGCTGGTGGCTGGGCTGGCCCGGGCCAGCTGCCCTCAGAGCTGCAGCGGGCAGAGCGGACCCATCCCCAGGTGCTCTGGTTCTCCACCGCCAGGCAGTGCTCCTCAGGGGGCTCTATGGAGAGTGCAGGGCAGTGGTCTACCCGGGGCCATCATCTCTGACCTGGGTCTGCTGGCAGAAATGATATTGAGGTGTGTTTAACGGCATCCTGATAAGAATGAAGACAGCTGGAATCTGTACAAAGCCACCTATTGGGGCATTTTGAGGAGGGAACTGGGGAAAGATCTTATTTCATGCAGGCCAGTGGATTCCCCTGGAGGAGGCTGTTTTGAGTGGAATGGCTAATTATGGGTCTCGGTTGGGGTCAGAGGAGAGGAGGCACCAAGGCAGGCCGTGGGCCAGCTGAGTCACAGAGGTGGTGAGGACCGGGAGCTGCCGTGCCCACAGGAGCTGGGAGTTCCAGTTGGCTTGCTTTCCCTATCCAGCAGCGTGTTGGCTTCCAGAGGCTACAGTGGGCTTCCGGGGAGGCAAGGGAGAGCAGCTGCACGCTGCGGGCTTCACACCTCATTTGTTACTTGTGGGAACCAGCAGAACTAGAAAAAGACACAAAGATACAAAGGGTCAATTTGGTTAGACCGATTTGGTCTCTTGGCTGTAATTTTAAAAAAATATTTTTATTGTAAAAAAACAATTAATAAAAAAAATAAATAAATAAATATTTTTATTGATTTCAGAGAGGAAGGGAGAGGGAGAGAGAGATAGAAACATCAGTGATGAAAGAGAATCATTGGTCACCTGCCTCCTGTGTGCCCACCACCAGGGATCAAGTTGCAACCCGGGCATGTGCCCTTGACCAGAATTAAATCTGGGACCCTCAGTCCCCAGGCTGACACTCTATCCACTCAGCCAAACCAGCTAGGGGTGTAGTGTTCCTTTTGTGTGTGTGTGTGTGTGTGTGTGTATTTCTTAAAAGGCTCACTTCTACATAAAAGTATTTGGGCATCAGGACTATTGCCAGCCAGAGGTGTGGCCCTGAGTTGTATAAACTCACTGTGCTTCCCTGGGTCCTTCTCCCGGGCTTCTGGGCCTGGGGCTTAGGGGGCCAAGCAGACAGAAGTGACCTGAGCCCCAGATGCAGACCTGAAGTGAAGGCCTGAAGGGGTTTGTTTTATCCATGTTTGCCGCCCTTTCTTTCCCTCTTCACTTTCTCTACCTCGGCTTCCCTCTGACGAGAAGGTATTTCCCAGGCTGAGAGCATTTCCCTAAATAGAGGGACATAGGATGTATATGATAGATCCTCCGTGTCCTGCCATCCCGGTCTCTGGTCTACCTTCTCTATTTAATCTATCCGTATATTTTTAAAATTTTAGTTTTCAATGACAGTTGACATTCCGTATTATTTTATGTCAGTTTCAGTGTGCAGCAGAGGATCTTTAACAAACGAACTCTTTTTGTGCTCTAGGGTTTTCTTCTTCCATTCCTTTCTTTTAAGTTAGCGGATGGCATGAGCAGAGGAGAGGGGCGAGCTGGAAGCTGGAGGAGGACGTCCGTCCGTTTACCTCGCAGCGAGGCCCTCGCTGAACGGCAGGTGGCAGGGGTGGAGGACACGGGTTTGTTTGGGTGAGTCAGCTGTCGCTCTGGGTCCACACCTTCCAGGTAGATGAAAGATTAATGGTGGCGTCCTGGGGTAAGGAGGGGGAAGGCCAGTTGGCCAAACAAGTTTGCTCCCTTCTCCTGAAGCGGAGAGCTGAGGGATCCTCCTTTTAACCCCACCAGGGCCTTCCGTCTTTTCTCATTGGATGAGAATGCCTGCGGCTCCTTTACAGTCTGTGCCTCATGAATTCACTAACGTGCCAGACACTGCTCTAGGGGCTTCCGTGAGTTTATCTCTCAGGGGCTGTTTGCTTCCTCCATATTCAGTTCAAGAGGGACAGTTGAGTGGGAGGTGAGGTGCCCAGACTTCTCCATCCCACAGGGACCTGTGGGGGCAGGTCCCGCCTCAGATGGAGTTGGGTCAAGGTCCCTGGGGTGTGTGTGTGTGTGTGTGTGTGTGTGTGTGTGTGTGTGTGGAGTGGGTAAACTCAGATCTGGCAGGTCAGGCTGGGGAAGGGGGGCTCATGTGAGAATCTTCCCATCTCCCCTCACTGTTGTGCCCAAGTGTCATGATCCCCAGAGACTACCAGGGAGCCGAATCCGATGCAATTGCAGAAAGCCTATATTTATTTCGGACTAGTCCAAGCTCGGTCCCGGTCCCACATACACCAGCAAGATCGTGGCGGGAGAGAGAAAGAATTTAACATATCGATGGGTTTTATAGGGGTGGTGATGTCACTACTTTGGCTGACCCTGCCTGGTTGGGTTAGGGCTAGGGTCCAGTTACACAAAATGGAGTCGGGAGTTGCCTCACAGAACAAAATGGAGTCGGGAGCTGGCCCTGCCCCGCCTTCTCATCACCACCCTTCTCCCTGCTTCCCGAAATGTCTCTGAGCGCACACAGATATTAAGGTAAAATTGCAAGTGCCTTTGAAGACCAGAGGCCCAGTCACTAATTTATGCCAAGGTCTAAATGACTGACTTCAGAATCTAGTCTGGGATCTGGTGTGGGAGAGGAACAGCCAAGGGTATGGACGCCTGATGGTACAGGAGTTGGGCAAACATCTGGAATGTGGTCTGACTTACTCTGTGATCGAGGGAATGGCATGGGGAGTGTGTAGAGATGGTGAGCAGAGAGAGGGGTCTAGCTCCTATTCTGCCTTGCCCCTGAGGTCCTGCCTTGAATGATAGTAGGGCATCTTGTAGGTTTTAGTAGCCAATGGAATTTTTTGTTTGTTTGTTTGTTTTGTTAATCTTCACCGGAGGATATCTTTCCATTGATTTTTAGAGAGCGTGGAAGAGAGGGGAGAGACACCGAGAGAAACATTGATGTGAGAGAGACACATCAATTGGTTGCCTCGGGCATGGGCACCAACCAGGGCCAGGGGATCGAGCCTGCAACCGAGGTACGTGCCCTTGACCGGAATTGAACCTGGGGCCTTTCAGTCTGCAGGCTGACGCTCTATCCATAGAGCCAAACTGGCTGGGGCTAGCCAATGGAATTTTTAGTTGAAATTTACATTTAGTGAAATGCACAAAATCACTAGTGTAGCATTTGATGCCTTCTTTAAATACATAAATAAATGAGTATCACCCAAACTCCTAACAAGATTTACAACATTATCATTGTCCCAGAAAGTTCCCTCTTGGCCTCTTCTGATTATTTTTAACTATAAATTCTGCCTGTTCAAGATTTCATGTAAGTGGAATCATTAGTATGTTC